GTGAGATGTTCGAAAATTAGGTTCAGACAGTTTCGCAGTTGCTTCGTTCAAATCTACAGCAATTATACCAGCTTTGATATTTAATTCGGCTTCTTGAAAAACAAAATCAGCTATTTTTTCTAAATCAGGTTTTGATGAGTTCTCATTAGCAGAAAATCTTACATAATTGTGTATCATTGAATTTGGCAACTTTTGATACAATTGATTTGCAAGCTCTGGACTAAAAATATAACCTACATTTTTATCAATCGATTTTATCGAAATTACGGAATCTTTTAATTTTGTCGCAAAATCTACTAAGTTAACATTTGAATTTTTCAAGCTCGGGAGCTCTTGAATCTCTTTGATTATCTTTTCAAGAATCAGTTTTTTATTTCCAAACCGTATTTATAGCGTCTTTAAAATTTGCTCTGTATTATTTCCGGCAATAAACAAAATTCGAGTAGCTTCCTGAGCTTCGCCTCGCAGAGCTTCAGAAAGACGAACAAGATTTTCTGCATCTGAGTAATTTCCCAAAGAAGTCGAGATTTCAAAGGATTGCTTAAATCTTGACCATTCGAGCGGTTCTCCAGAAAAAATAGGCAATGATTTAGCTGATGTCATTCTATTTAAAAAAACCGAATTATCATTGCTCAAACTAGAATTTCGAACTTCTTTTAAGGTCTCTTTTATTGCGTCTGCTAAATCTTTTATGAAGTCTGCGTTCAAACGGTCAGAATGAGTATTACAATTCGCGAGTCTATTATGAAAATTACTAGGATCGTATAAATTCTCAAAATTATTTACAAATTCAAACTCATTTTCAGATGCAATTTCGGAATTCGAACCATTATTAGCAAAATTGTTTTCAAAACGATCTCCCATCACATCAAAACCATTTCCGAATTCATTACGGTTAGGAAAAAATGCAAAGGAAGTCGATTGTTGAGACGCATAATTCGGAAAAGGGTGCTCCTGATCTAAAGTTGGTTCAGTTTGATACGCGTGACCAGTCGCAGCTGGTAACTTTGACAAGGAAAACAGTGTACGCTTGTGTTCCGCTGTAGAACTCGTCGTTGAGGTCGTCGCACGGGGTGGTAGTGCGCGCTTGTGTGCCACTGCAGAACCCTTCACTGATGTTGCCGTAGAAGATGGTGGTGTGCGTTTACGCGTCACTGCAGAGCCCTCCGCTGAAGTCATCTGAGAGGGTGGTGGTACGCCGTTACGCGCTGCTGCAGAGTTCGACGCTGAACTCTTTGTACGAGGAGGTGGTGGGCGTCTGTGTGCCACTGCAGAGCCTGTCGCTGAGGTCGTCGCAGGGGGATGTGGTGCGCGTTTACGTACTGCTGCAGAGCTCGCCGCTGAGGTTTTCGTACGGGGTGGTGCTCGTTTGCGCGTCGCCGCAGTTCCCGTCGCTGAGGTCATCGAAAGGGACAGCAGTGCGCGTTTACGCGCTACTGCAGCACCCGTTGCAGGAAGTAGCTGTGCGCGTTTGCGCGTTGTTGCAGAGCCCGTCATTGAGATCGTCGTACGGGATGGTGGTACGCGTCTGCCTGCTGCTGTAGTGTCCGTCGCATGGAGTGGTGGTGCACATTTGCACGTCGCTACAGAATCCACAGCTGAATTCATCGGAAGGGGTGATGGTGCGCGTCTCCCCGCCGATGCAGAACCCGCCGTCAAAGTCATCGTAGAGGTTATAGTCGGGCGCGCAGTTACGCGTTTACGTGCTGCTGGGCTTTCAACTGCAAAAGTCACGGTTGATGAAGGTGGTGGGCGCCTCCGCGCTGGCGCGAAATTGACATTCTCAGAAATAAAAGCAGGTGGTGCGCGTTTTCACGCTGCCGCAAAACCGAGTTCACCAGACGTCAAGGTCGATGAGAGGTCCTGTGATGCTGCGGTTGAAGGAGAGAGACCCATCTCCTGCAATTCTCTGCCTCCTTCCTCCATTTCCTCCTCCGAGGACTCGCCAACATTTTGGAGCACAGCCTGATCAGCTGCACCGGTCTCACCCTCGAACTCGTCAGCCAGCTCTTCGTCTGATACGGCATTGTCAGCCTCGTTAACCTCATCACCTTCAAGGACTTCGTTTCGAGGCTTTCCATTCGTTAATGGACGGTCTCTGATATCTCGTTGTCCTCTCTTCATGTTGAGAATTACACGTTCGCGGGGTATTTAACAAGAGGCCCTACGTCGAGCGCCAAAAATATAAAAAAATCTTATTTCTAAAATAAGGACGTGTAACTGGTATTATGTCTTTGATAATTTATTGAACAAAAGTGAACGGTATAACGGAGGAAAATAGAAACGGTGTGAGAGGTTTGAGTCTTCAGAAAGAAGTGAAGAGAGAGTTGCTCCTGCTTGACAACACAGTAACTTTGTTGATTTTCCTGGTTACCGAGTTATTCGCTGCATAAAACAATTTCCACCATAGCCTCCCGTCCGCAAGAGAGCCATTGCCCCCCTTGCCCCGGTGCTCCTTTCATTTTTTAACAGGAAAATGCGGCCCCGGACATTCCAAACGAAAGCCGTGCACGCGGCTTTTCGAATCGTCAACTTTACGATTCGCGGGCGCAGTTATACAAACAATCGATAACATATAGTATTTTAAAATTGAGCTACTCTCTCCTTCTGTTTCATTCTTACATTCTTTACATACCGTATTATGACGATCTTTTAGGTTATGACTGTGCATGTACATTTGCAATGTGAAAAATATTAATCAACAAACTGATTTTTATTTTGCGCCAATTGATACATCTTAATCAGAAAAGACTGAAATAAAGTACAAATTTCGAAGATATGAACAGTATTTTTATAAAAATAGTTTGATTTGTAACATATGTCTTTAAAGCTGTTATTGCTATACCTTATTGCAGTCCATGTCAAAAGATATATTTAAACTTAAATATCTTAAAAACTAGTACCGATACGTTAACTTAAAAAAACTATCGGTTACATAGAACAATTTAGTGTTTAACACATTTCAATTTCAAACAAAGTTTGATTTGTTAGTGGCGATGGATTTTCTACCTTGAGTTGGATACTTACGGATTTACTACCATATTTTTAGTTCGGTACCCTACAAGGCAGGTGGCGTTCGACAATACCACGTATTTTATTGATTCGGTTGGCTGTGTAAATTACCTTTTAAAGCCAATAAATTCATTTTACTACTCCTATTNGACCATGCACTAGATACCGGGACAAATGCTGTACTGTATAGATTTTTTTTTTTTCTATATTATAGTGCTCTACGTCCGGCCCCTTTAACAAGGGCACTACTATGGGTACTTAGCACTTTGGAGAAGGAAGGGAAGAGGGATGGGAGGCCTCCCATTACTGGGAGGGGGGTAGGGGGAAATTAGGTAATTATGCTACGAGAAGGTCGCATAAACCCTCCTCGAGGAGCATTGCGTGGTGAAAAAGCACATGTGAAAGACACAGAGGTACTTGCCCGAAAATCGCACTGGCCGGGAATCGAACCACGGTCGCCCGCGTGTCAATCCACGACCTAGCCGACACTACTCCTATTGATTCGGCCTTTTCCCTACAATCCTCTGCAATTAGTTTGTAACTGTAAATACCTGAATACTGCTTGTAGACTATATTATTTTATACATCTGTCACTGTCACTGTATTGTGAATTTGAAGTCATAAAAGGAAATATTTAGATTTTTAATAAATTTCACTAATTTGAGGGCCATTCCAAAATTAATTTTACAGATCAATACCAAATTTCAACCCATTTTGCTAACTAGAAGTAAAGCATAAAAATTGAATAAACTTATAGTAAATGAGGAAGCTGCAATGTCTACTAAAATATTTCTCTTAATCTCCACTTCGGGTGGCTCGAAGTTGTGTATGTAGAATTCACGTGTATTTCATCATCTGGGTCACTCGAGAGCCACTCAAAGGAAAAATAGTGGATTAATCTAGTAAATTAATTTACAATAAGGATGTATTGGGATTATCTGCACACAACTTAAGGTAGCTCCCTTGCAAAAACCTACGGAATGAAATATGTTTCATTCAATAGATTTTGATATACTGAATTCAACGGTGTCCTTGTTTTCATCCCAAATGGAGCAAAATCTCGAGATGTTTCAGCTCAAAGTTGAACTATTTAACACGAGTTCAAATGGCAGAGCATCAAAATATCAGCTTTACAGGCATTTCCCAACTCACAATAAAAAACCTGAGCAGACAAATTATGATGTACTTGTAGAAAAATCTGTTCTTCTCAATACTGTCATGTAGAATGCTAGTAATGGGGCATTTTCCGAAGGTATTTGCCAAGAAAGACGTGAAAATCAGCTTCATGGTTATTAATGACAGACGGTAGCAGAATACCAACACTGATGTACGTATATACGCAAACATACACAAGTGAAACTCTCCTACTTGACTAGAGCAGTAGACAAGGGAGCTACCTTAATTGCCTTGGCAATAATTGTATCTAAGCCAAAGTGGAGTCCGGATAAGAGTGTAAACCATTGAACAGTGCGTAATTTTTTCATACACTGAGAGAAAAAATATAATAAAAATTACTGTGCTGGAATGATAATCTAGTGTCATTCCGCCGTCTAGGGACTTTTTACTTTGGCCAACTTAATTTTTACTATTCCGGACAGTAATTTCTATTGTACGAACAGTAAAAATCACTATACTTACAACAAAAATTACTGTTATAAACACTAAAAATTGTTGTTCCAATAGTAAAAAGTCTCCAAACGACCGAACACTACCAGATTTCCATTCTAGCACAGTAATTTTTATTATATTTTTCTCTCAGTGTAGAAGGTGTAACATTTATAGTTTGAGATATTATCTTCGCTTGAATACAATTAGCTCCATGATAGTAAAATTTTATGCAGACGTTTTTCTTAGGGAATACACGTGTATACATAATTTAAAAATGCAAACATTAAGAAATTCAGTATACTATAAAGCTCGTAAAAAATGTAAAAAGTAAAAACGTAAATATTAACGATGAAAACGTCGTGTTTTTTTTATTTTTTCAGTGGATCTGTTGCAAATGTTGGAATTCAACGCCAGCGTGTCATTCCCGGCAGCTTCTCTTCTTACTGTGATTTTGGCTTTGGTCGGTAAGTCGTGTTTTAACACTCTTGCATGAAAAAAGCCGTACAATTTTAAAATATGACTTATTTAAATAAGACGTAAGTATATTTATGGCTACATATGGTTTTTTTAAAGCACCAGCGCTCGGAGTTTCAATTCTAGTAGTGTATGCATGATGTCTTTAAATGCTCGATACGGTTCTTTCTCACGTCATAGTACAGTTTAGCGCTACCAATCGCCATTCATTGCAGAGAAATTGACTTAACGTATAATTGCAAACGTGCCTTTTAATGTGTTGTGGAATTAAAAATGAATTTTGGTAGGCAATCCAAGTAAATGCTCACGTTTCTGTCTCGTGGTACAGAAAAACCTTACCAATATAATTATTTTAATCGGTGTGTAATATGTATACTATTTCATTGTGACCTTTTTTTTACCATATTTTAATTCTGGTGATGTTATTTTGATTTGGATCCAGCCACAAATATTTGGGTCTTTCTAATGCTCTTTCATCTTTAAATGACTGAATGTATTGCAGCTTCTTGAATTATGTTCTGAGCTTGATTATTTTGATCTAATGAGAAATCAAGTACTCATCCATTTCAAATCTATTAAACAAATGAAAAACTTCAAAAATTATTAACCGCTTATCTATATAAAAAAAAAAAATAAAAAAAATATGCAGTCTAAAATTATCTATAGGTTTTAACAAACGGAAGAGTTTGTTATCAAAATAGGATGCTCTTATCTATATGGATAAGGAGCTATGGATTTTTGAATGTCAATGTGTAACTTGGAAACATTTGACCTCAGAGCGTTACAATTCACTGTATGGTGGCTCTTTCTCACAACTTTTATTGTAAAATCATATAAATTCTTACCATTCATTGAGTAGTTGTTAAGTGTAAATCCCCAATAAATTCTCACAATTTACTCATCAGTAAAAGAAGTTTACAGAAAGCACAACTTTCCAGTACTATCTTACCTTTGTCTTACGAATTTGTTCGCACAGAAAAATATGCCCATATCGACTAAAACACAATCACGCTTGAAAAAAGCTTTTGTTAATAAACCATCTCAACAGTTACAACAAACAGATCGAGTGCAATGTGAAAAAAAAGACAACACTGCATACATTATTACGGCCCAAACAAAAATAAGTACTCGAGTCAGCAAAAACTCGCAGACATGCTCGTACACATATGGGCACACTTGTCAGTGCGCCGCGTGCTCCGTGCCAACTCGCCATTGCACCTCATATACCTGCACAATCTAGTTTACGTTGATGCCGTGTGTGGTAAAAGTTGCAGCTGTTGCAGCTGCTGTTATCGTGCGCGAGAGGGACGCGCGAATGAAATTTTAAAGAGCTTTTTCTTTCCTCTCGTTCGTGACTATTCTTCGCCGCCTGTTGCACATGCTATACGCTTGGGAATTTCGGGGGATCTTTTCTCAAACTCTGAGTTTTCTTCCTCCGTTGAACTCACATGTGCGGGTAATATATAATGGTATCTCGATTTTGGTCCTATAAGAGCTTTTGATATTTGAGGTGTGATGGTTAATTTTCCGAAATTTAACGAAAGTTGATAATATTTTGGCACACCTTCATATTGAATTAATTTAGACAGAAAAAATAGTCATTAACTAGTCATCAATGTAATCACTTAAGTATATATTTTCCAAACATTCTTGGTAATATCAAAGTTTTTCTGGAATGATATATATTATATTCTTCCACATTATCAAAATACATTATAGTATTGAATAAATTCTGGTGATGATACATCGCTGGGTTTATTCGCACCAAATCCACGTAAATATGTGGATATTGTATAGTACAGATAACACAGTGTGAATAGTATCGTTATTATTTTTCATATAAACGTGGATACAGCTCTACTTATATTCGCATGTATTCACGTGGATTTCGTGCGAATAGACACAGGGATGATTTATGTACAATGAAAAATGGAGGTTTACAGTTATTAGATCCAGACATTGACAGATTTTTTCGTAATGCGTGTAAAATTAAACACTCTCTTAGGCACTAGAAATCGATTTTTAAGTGTCCATTTAGCTTCCTCAGAATACAGAATGATAGCATGCAATTAATGCAGACAATGTAATAAATACAGTATACCTAACTAACTCTTCTGTCACTTCCCTGCAAAGTCAACGTTTCAAAATTAAATACTAGTTTTTTTTTTGTTGGTTTCAATTTTTAACTCTGTAGCACAATATCTTGATTCATGGTCTTACCAACAAAACAGCTAAATTTCATTAGAAACTCGTGTAGATGAAAAGGAAAAAAAACACCAGATAACAAGTTTTCCACGAATACAGTTTTTACCGTGTGGTTGTTGAAATGTGCATTCAATAATAGAATTAAACATCCGAATGCATTAGCGAGTGTTGGTCCGGATAAAGTAATAAATAAAAAAAAAGGTAGAGAGGGAGAGCTGGTAAATGCACTGGCGCCGCTGCTGCAAACGGATTATGACCCTCCACGGATTCGGGGGGCGCGCACATCAATCTCTAATGAAGGCGCAACAGTTGGGTGAGGGAGGGATGGAGATGGAGAGATAGCCCGATGGAGGGCTTTTTATTCGGCTCGCGTGCAGCTTGCAAGCTCGAGTTTCGGTACAGGTATACTGCCACTGTTGCTGGATTTTGGCTCGCTGACAAGATTTCCCGCGGACGGTAGGAGGGTTCCGAGGAGTGAGAAAAAAGGTGCTCTCTTTCATGTCCTTGTTCGAGCGAATTACAGGTGATGAAAGTTTTACCAGCTGTTGTAGCGATCACGTGGTACAAATCTTGGATTTGCAACTTAGTTAATTGTTTATTGAAGTCTGTGTTTCCATTGGCGTTACACTTGGAGAGATAGAGATACTACTTCAGGTGCTGTGTTACAAATTCAATTTGTGCTTATGTTATTCAACTGCCGAGGTTTTTAATGCTTCATCCTTTATAATCTTATAGAAATAGAATTCTTTGGTAACCAAACTTCAAGAGAGAATTTGAGTAATCAGAAATGACTGAAAGAAGTGTTTTTGTGTGTTTTTGAAATGTAAGTTGTGTTTCACTCAGAGAGCTCTGCTTTAGTAGATATGACCAGCATAGCTTAAATTGTCGAAAAATCCATGTTTGCTGTTTGAATGTAACTTATGATTAATATGTATAGTATATTTAAAGATTGGATTACAAATAGAAGATTAATAAATTCTTTTAACACAATGTAGTTCAAGTTTTTTGTATGAACAAAAAATTTTTGCCTGCATGAAAGTTAAAGCTCAAAAATATGTTGTATTTATATTACTTCCGAAGTGATTTTTTATTGAATCTTTTCTTTTATCCTTTAGTTCAATTTACGATATTTACATTGAATTCAAACTATTTGAGTTATGTGTTATGTCTCTTAATCCAAAGCTAATTAGATTCAACTGAATATTGGCTTTGGTACTTGTAATTACCTAAGTATTTCCTTTAAAGTATGGTTGATATTCTTTTGTAAAATCAAAATCTCTTTCGTAAGATTAAAAAAAAAGAAACTAATTATTAGGTTTACAATACCGTGGTTACTAAGATATTTTCCATGTATCTGATGATGAAAAAGTTCTTGTGAATGGTATTAAAAAATATTTATTTAGCATAACAAAAATTATGTATCCACTCGTGAATTTTGTCGTGAAATCTAAGTGGTATGGAAAACTTTCCGATGTCTTCTTTTGCGAAAGAAGAGAAGCAAACTAAAAAACTGAAGGAAATACGAATGAGAAGTCCATGAAAAGTGTTAGGTGCTCGCGTTCGATCGACATTTCCGAGCACCATTCGCAGCAGTATTGGTCGTATTACGTATGTGAGGAAGAGACGGGGGAGGCGTCGCGCAAAGGAGGAGAAGGAAACTGGAACCCATTACTTCGGATAACAACTTCCCGATCCTCCCTTCCAGTCTCGGCTTCCTTATCTCCTCCGAGACGCTTCTACAGAACTGCAAGAGAGAGAGATACCGTGTAGAGGTACCTTCTTGCTGCTGCTGCCGCTGCCGCCACATCAGAAAGATCCCACGATTCGCTGGTATCCTCTTGTTTTTTTCCGTTTCTTTCTTTTTGGTGTCGCCCTCGTTGTCGTTTTCCTTCGTTATACTTCGTTCGCCAATATCCGCCCTGTTGCTGTATACAAGTTCATAAATAAATATCTACAAACAGAAATAGATGCTCCTTTTTGTTTACCGATATGTTTGTATCACCATTACTAAATTGGATCTTAAGATAAATCGATTGGGTGAATTTTAAAATCTTAATGCTGAATCTATAACAATATATGTTTATTTTTATCATGTTGGGAGTGTCTGAATCTTCTAAAAAAAAAAAAATAGTAAAAAAAAAACATTTTCTTGTAAAAGTAATTGTAATTATTTTATTTAATTTTTTCACTCTTAAACAACAGATTAAAAGATATTAGTGAATGGTAGTGTAATAAAAATACAAGACTCAAAATTAGAAAGCAATCAGTATGGTCAAACAGTGATATTCATATTTAATACCCATATCCAGGGAGCTATAAAGATAAAGCTTCATGTGGTGTCTGCTACGGTAGGGTATAAATAACGTCACAGCCTATTGTATTTCAATTATTATAGCATTTGATTTGTTACTCACATCAAACTTTTTATAAAAAAAAAAAATAAATAAATAAATAAATAACCATTTAGTGACGTCACATAACACTGTAAAAGTGTGTTAAAGTACACGTTTAAAGTTTGAAATCGAAATTTCTGTTTGTTATAAAACACTTAACAGTAGTCTAGATAAACTGTTTAAGAAAAATGAAATCAGTGCTTCGTAAATTATTTCACCTATTCTACACAACTAAACCCTTTTTTTTCAATGATTAACATAAGAAGGCTGTAGAGAGTAAAACATTGATGTCTCATATTTTACACACTCGTGAGGGTTTTAAATCTGTGACAGCCAAGTTTTTTTACTCCACAGCTTTTTTTCCTACATTGGTTTTTGCCATTTAAATGTGT